CGTAGTTGTAGGGTTGTAGGAGTAGAAGTAGTAGTAAGTGTTGTACATCAAAGTAATATACAATAGAGTGAGATACGTCGTAATTGAAATGAATGATTAGTTAGCTTTTACGTCCTATATCGTTGTAGTCGTGAAAGATCAAGTTCAGCCATCTTTTACAACAGGCTTTACAATCGGAAATGCTAGTTTAAAACTGTGTTTTACAACACTGTACAACCGCTAACAACCACGTTTACGCAATTGTAGAATAGCCTTAATGCTCAAACTAGTGTCCCAAAAATACCTAGTAATGCCCAGTAAAGACCTGTGTCCACGATGCTAGAACTTGGTCCAAGTTCCAGTTCCGAGAAATGTGTGGCCAATCAATTTGCAGCTTTTATGAAATAGCCGCAAGTTGTGACCGAAAAAAGACCGATGGCGTTCCCATACAGGGAAAATTCATAAAAAAGGAAACGAATACTCTCAGACGTCTCGCAGTAGACCGCTGTTTACTGCCGTATGGTAATTAATCGGCGACGAAGTCCAAGCGTCGATCGTGACGTCTGGAACTTACTTGGCACTACGTGGATCCCTGCCCGCGGCACAGCATTGTCGCCAGCAATACGGACGCCTTCATCCCCGTGACGGATAACAACTACGGCGTAGCCATGAAGCGGTTACCGTACACGGTCACATGTTTGATCCCCGATGTACACCGCAGTTTCTCACAACACCGCGGCTCACATTTGTTGCGCGTTAACGAACGATAAAGTCGCGAAGCTCTTGTTACGTCCTGCGAATGCAAATTTTCAGGAAAAGAAATATTTCTTCCGGAGAGTACGTGCGGATTATAACCCCAAAAGCGAAGATGCTACGCAGGCCAAGTGGCTACGCTGCACCACTATCGCGCAATTATCTCAGGTTGGATCAGAGGTCAGGTCAGGTTAGGGTTAGGTCAGGTTATGGCGCTCGCGCACTCGGCAGTCGCGTTTGAAAACGCCACCCGAGTGTATCATCTAAAGGCCTGTGTCCACGATGCTGGAACTTGGTCCAAATTCTAGTTCCGGGAAATGTGTAGCCAATCAACTTGCAGCTTTTATGGAATAGCTGCGAGTCGATTGGCTACACATTTCTCGAAGCTAGTGCAATCCAATCGGCGCGAGGCGCTCGCTGAGCGGCCAATCTCGTTCGTCAACGTGGACACATGCGCGCGGGACGTCGCTCCTCGGCACCGACAGGCGCCTCTACGAATCACCTCGCCGCAGGATGTTTACACCTGGGAATCTGGGAATCGCGAAAGAGGTAATGACCGCCGAGGACTCTAGGATGAGCGTCCGTGACGACGCGACCAACGAGCCGACGGCGAGGCGGTGAACCGAGTGCGACAGAGTGCCTGGCCCCGGCGAGATCGGCGCCGATCAACGCTGCCGTCGTCAATTTACATTCCGGCCAATCCCCCTCCCGTTTCGACCGAATGCCGAACCGCCGTCTACCCCGTACGTTCGAGCCCCGTGAATAAATTATGAGCGTGGACAGCGAGAACAAGTCGAGCGAGGCGCGAACGATCGCGCCGTACAGCGCGGAGAACGGCACCGACGCTGGTGTCGAGGGTGCTCCGATCTGGACGCCAGAGATGGTGCTCCGGTTGCCCACCATTACGGACAGTACGTTTCCCCGCTTGGTATTTAAATAAGTTTTAGAAATCTTTGCACGTATATCATTGCACAGATATTCGTTTCTATCATTCCTTTGCTCTAATAATGCGTGCGCGTATCCGCGAGCAAGAGCTACAATCTCTCGCATGATAGACTGTATTCCCCGAGATTCACCATAAAACGTTGGACAGCCTTTGACCACAACTGTATGTACTCGTTGCCTGTCGAACCATCCGAAATCTAATTAACAATACGTTTTCAGAATATCTCTGCTCTCCCGAAGCCAATGTCTACGACATAGACTTCACGAGATTCCAGATTAGGGATCTAGAAACTGGCGCCGTACTGTTCGAGATAACGAAGCCTCCTGCCAGCGGTGCGTAACACTCGCATATCACGTTTTCTCTGCAATTACCTGTGACAATTAAGTGGAAGACAGCATTCGAAGTCCTGAATCAATTTACAATGCTGTTGTCTAATGTATTCGTTTCTGAATCAACGATCACGATTTTGTAAATGTTTGCAATGTAAAACTGTGCAGTATGTAAAGTTTAATATTTAATCTGAAAAAAACGGAGTATCTATTGCGAACTTCAGACATTAATCGCACTAAATAATCGTGCTTTATTTCTCCTTGCAGAATGCGACGTTCATCAAGATCCAGAGCCAGATTGCGAAGAACTCGGATCTGAGGACGCGAACACGGGTCGCTTCGTGCGGTATCAATTCACGCCGCAATTTTTGAAGTTGAAGACGGTCGGGGCGACCATCGAATTTCTAGTCGGGCCTAAGCCGATCAATAACTTCCGGATGATAGAGCGGCACTTTTTCCGAGACAGGTTGCTGAAGACCTTCGACTTTCAATTCGGATTTTGCATACCGAACAGCAAGAACACGTGCGAACACATCTACGAGTTTCCAACGTTGCCTGCGGATCTAGGTAAGTCGGCGAAAGAAATTCCGCCGAGCTCGCCAATGATATTTGCCTGAAATCCAGGGTTGGGAAAGTTACTTTAGAAAAATATCTAGTTACAGTTTTCTTTTCGCTAAAAATGTAACTAGTTACAGTTACAAGTTACCAGTTCTGAAAAGTAACGCGTTACAGCAACGGTTACTCGAAAAGTAACGAATCGTTACTGGGCAGTTACTTTCTTGTAACGAAAATAAAAGTATCAAATCTGCATTTGAATTGCAAAGTGTCGATAAAGGCGTTTATGCGCAAATGCAAGGCCTAGTGCGATCTGCGAAGGTTTAAAAAGTATATTAAGCAACTATTAATGTAACTGGGTTGAGTTAAGGTACCCATACACATTCCGGAAATCCTCTGAGAAAAAACTGTGCAGTCCTGAACAGTGCGCCAAGTCTGCGCAGTTCTCTACTGCACACGCTTCGGAGATCCCGAAGGCCAGGACTGCACAGTCTTTCCTCAGAGGATCTCCGGAATGTGTACGGACACCTTTACAGTTACAGATGGAAAGAAAGTAACGAAGTTAAGTTAATACACAAACAAAAAGTAACTAACTTCATTACAAGTAACAAGTTACTTCCCAACCCTGCTGAGATTGTACGGGACAATCGTAATTCTGAACGGCGTATGTGTCTTTACAGTGTCCGAAATGATCGCCAGCCCATTCGAGACGCGATCCGATTCATTTTATTTCGTCGACAATCAGCTTGTGATGCACAATAAGGCCGACTACGCATACAACGGTGGGCATACAACGCACGACGTATTGTAATGTGCGGTTTGTTGATTAGTATTATTGCAAGTGATATATAGAATTATAAAAGTATATCACAGTTACGTGTTACAGCGACGATGAGGCGATCGGTTTGCACATTCGGCTAGCGTTTGACGTTTTCGTCTTTTGGCACAAAAGAAAACAAAACGAGCTTAAAAATTTTGCGGATCATCATTGGTCCCTGAACACGCTAAGTGCTGTTGCAATGGAGACGCTTTGATCTAAGGCTACACTTGATTTGTTGATAAATTGAAGACACATAGTTCCTATTTTTCTTTAGTATAAAGGAAACGACGTTTTATTTATAAATTATTATCGAATCAGAGTGATATTTAGTTTTATAGAATGCGCTTCGACGGCGTCTGTCCTCGCACGATGCGTCCGCCGGCGGCGAGTATCGCTCGTTCAAGCACATGTAGCGCACTGACACACGTGGCCTCCGAGTGGAATTACATCTGGTTCCACGAGCTTTCTTAATCTTTCAAGTATACAGCCTACGCGGCAACATGTGCGACGGAGGGAAAACTGATTTAGGTATCGCGTTCTTCGACGCTCAACGGCGCTTTTCTGCCGCAATTATACAACTTGCAGTCTCTTTGTTCACTCTTTACACGACTATTGTTTGAATACTTTTCACATTCTGCAATATTGTGGAGTTGATCTAAAATACACCAATATATTTACAAAGGACAATTTCTGACTTTTTCTTTATACAATAATGAATGTCACAAGGCCGAGTAATTGATGAAGGCAGTTAGAAGCTCGACGAACTCGTTGGGTTTATCCGCGTGGACCCAGTGGCTCGCCCCGTCCACGTAATGAAATTCCGCCAGGGGAAACAGATTCTTGATCGCGTCGTGGTCCTTCGACAGAATGTAATCGCTATCGGAGCCGCCTATGAACAACGTAGGGCCTACGTACATCCTCGAGCCTACGTTGGGAAACACAGCTAACTGAGTCGAGAACGCCTGCTCCAGCACCGGTAAATTGACTCGCCACTTGAACTTGCCCGAGTCCGCCTCCACCAGGTTCGTCAGTATGAACTGCACAATACAAAACGCGACTGTCTAGGGTTCGTCAAATGAACTGCGCAATACAAATGCAGTTCTCACAGGGCCAGTTTCGCAAACGTCCGTTAACTGCTCGCCGAGGCTCAATTGATTGTCTCGTTTTAGATGATAAGATAAAACGAGACAGGGAGTCGACTGAACTCCGGTCAACAGTTGACCGACGTTTTGTGAAACTGGCCCCTGTACAGCGAGCGTGAAACAAGAGGGAGTCTTCCTACCTGACGCAGCGAGTTGGATTTAATGGACTTGGCCAGCTGCTGGTCCACGGTTTTGCGCGCCTTCGACAAGGTCAGACTCCCGTCCACCAGCACCAGGCGCATGGCCTCGAAGATCCTCTCCATCTGCATGAGATTCGGGCTGGTTCTCACAGGGGACATGTCGACGACCACCAGCTTCTCGACGTGTTGCGGAAAGTTGAGGGCTGTATACATGACGGCCGAGCCGCCCATACTGTGGCCAACCAGGACGGCTTTCTCGAGGCCTAGGTCGCTCAACAGCTGAACCACATCCCCCGCCATGTCCTTGTACGCCATGTTGGTCGAGTGCGGAGAATCACCATGATTTCTGGCGTCCACCGCTATGACCTGTGCATCCACATTCTTAAGCGCAGCACGGCGTTACCTTCGCAGACTACTAACAACTATCCGAGAGGCGAAACATAGTCGTTCTATGTCAAGAGACACTTGAGAAAACCCACTGTAATCCACGTTTAGCTGCCTTTTGTAGATTACCAGGGAGAACTACCTTGCGCTTGGTCTTTTGGTGGATCGCCTTCGACAGCGAGTTCCAATTGTTTTTCGAGCCGAAGAGGCCGTGCATTATTATGACGGGCTCCTTCGCATCCTGCTCGTGCTCCTTCACCGACTCGTACGAGGTGTAGGCGAGTTTCACTGGCACGGTCCTGCGAGGCGGGAAACAGGTTAGGAGCGCGACGCCGCGAATCGATCGGAACGGGAATACTTACAGCAGCAGGTTGCTACGCAGACACTGGCGGCAGGAGGAGTGCAGGCTCTTGGCCGAGCGGGGCAAGGCGGCGGGTTTTCTCCACGGAAGGAACGGCGATAAATTTCGGCCTATCATTATCGTCGGATGCCAATACACTCGCGCGTACCTCCCGTTTCTTTATCTAACAATCACAGAGGCCTCTGATAGCGCGCATGGTTGCTATTTATAAATTGTTGGCCAAAACTGATTTAGCACGCGCGCGCGCGCGCGCGTGCTCGATTTGCAACGTGGTTTTTCGTTTGTCCCTCGTCGGATTGCAGCGTGTGTCACCTTGCGTGCGAGCGTCGCGAGTGAATCCGATTCGTCTTCTTCCTGTTCGGATTTAAACGGCTCAAGGCCGATTTGCACAAAACGCCGGTCCCACGCGTCAATTTGTCGATTTTAACTTTAAATATTGCACTTCGTTTAAATCGGAGATTCGAGACAGACTTTTATCACGATTTCGACATTTTGTGTCCCGTATTATCTTACTGTTATCATCGTTTTAGAACGTTTAGCATTATTTGCTTTTATTTTAACAATCTCCGGATTGAAAAGAAAAGAAGAGAATAACCGATACACTTCTCTTTTCGAAAGAGACGTGCAAATAAGATAAAGATCTGATTGGCTGTCCAAATTAGTGGTCTTAATTATTCGAAGCTTCGCAACTCCGAAGCTTCGAAGTATATACATTTGCTGTCACAACGAAATCCCGATACGCCTGATTCCCTCCTGAACAGATAGCACTAGTACCACATACTGCCGCGACGTGGCGACCGGCGCGTCTTTCTCGTAAGTAAAAATCGTCCCGTATTAGTATAAAAGGCTTACTGTCTGTTGAGATACTTGAGATTTGCAGTATGGAAAAAATACTGTTCAAGCATTAAACGAAGAGAGTATATTATACTCTGGTCATTTAATGCTTGAATTGTATTTATCCCATATTGTAAATCACAACAGACAGTAAGTAACAATATATGAGAAAATAAGCTTTTGAGCGTAGTTACTGCAGCATTAGCAATTATTTCTTTATGCATGGCAGACTCTTCATATACAGGATCATACATATCATTAGGCTCACTTATAAATCCTATGGAATGTTTCTTTAACTTCACTTTGCCTTTAAATGACTGCAATTTTGTCTGCACCTCCTCCATCGTTGGTATCAAATTCAATTTTCAAAATGATGGACCACGTTTTAATAGAACCAGTAATTTTGACAGCGTAATAAATAGGCCCCAAATATTGTAAATCTCGCGGGACTCCACCCCACACAGAATCGATTTTATTTATGGTGCTGTATATATATATATATATACAAAGAGAAATAAACATCTGTTCTCAGGTATTAGCCATTAAATTATACATAAATAATTGGACATATCGGAATAATAAACTAGGATTATTGATTAGTAAATATAAATTATACCCTTCTTATATAGCTGAGGCCCAACGTACGTTTATATCGTCATAGACAGGAAAATATCACAGAATAACATAAGACATGTAGATGTTTCTTGATTTGACGCAGATGTTTTGTGTTAAAAAAATGTATCATTTATATCCTCATATTTATCTGTTTCTTTTCTCATAATGTGTGACAGTATTCCAAAATTTATTTCCACGTTCGGGATTTTTTTGGAAAAAATATACATACTATATATGCACTGAAAATATCCATTCTTGGTCTTATATATAGTTAATTTGCCGTTTGATACGCGTACGTCAAACAGTCTGTGCAAACTCTCCGTCCGTTGGTAAAAATCTTGTACGGACTTGAAAAGAACAGACTTCCTGCTCCGGCGTTTGCCGTTTGCGATACGTGGCGACGTGCGTACGTGGCGCTGTGGTAGCAACATCATGCCGCTGTGAAGTGGCGAGCCGATCGGGGTGCGTACGGGTCGCGAGAAGCATATGTCACTTTTATGATTACACGGTGAAATTCGAGCGAAGAAAATGAGTTGGCTCAGCTCGTGCGTGTTCCTCGTCGTTTCTGTCGCCAGCGTGCGCGCCTACTTCATCACCGTGGACGCCCACGCCGAGGAATGCTTCTTCGATAAGGTCGAATTTGGCACCAAGATGGGTTAGTTTTCTACTGCGTTCCGTCGCTCTCGCGGCGACTTGAGCGAGCGGTTTTTTTATTTTTCCTTCGCGACGACATTGGCGCGAGTCAATTCAGAATCAATCCCGTCGTTTGTCTCGTCGATTGTTACACGATGGTTGTTACTTTATCGGTTTCTTTAATAATATTTTTTAATAATGCCTACCTTACCGATTTCCTTACTTTCTTCACTGGCGTTAGATCTGTACAGATTTTTGTATGAACATCTCCATTTCGTGAAAGTTTATGCCGATTAAGGAAACTTGGCGTGATGCACAATTCCCGTTTATTTCATTCCGCTAATTGTGTGCCAACGAAGAGCTAAGTGATTGTCTCGTCTGAAACGGCCGCCTAAGATTTTCGGTTGACTATTTACTGTTACTATTATTGAGAACTTTTTACTATTGTTGAGAAAAACGATCATTTTCAAAAGAACTCCAATTTCAGTGAATTGGAAGGAAACCTGTGCGTTCTGTCAGGACATAATTTTTACGTTTTACAGGCCTCACGTTTGAAATAGCGGAGGGCGGGTTCCTGGATATAGACGTCAAGATCGTCGGACCCGACGGTAGAATGATCTACCAGGGCGAGCAGGAGAGCAGCGGCAAGTACACGTTCGCCGCGCACACCACGGGCGTTTACACCTACTGCTTCAGCAATCAGAAGAGCACGATGACGCCGAAGGTGGTCATGTTCAATATGGACATCGGCGAGAATCCGAAGCAGGCCGAGGAGAACGCCGGCGCGGAGGGCCAGGACGGCGATGGCAATCACGGCAAGCTGGACGACATGATTAAAGACCTGAGCACCAGCCTGTGGGGCGTGAAGAACGAGCAGGAGTACATGCAGGTACTTGACGCGGGTGGCTTGACGCCCCTTCGTCGAAGCGACACGGATCGTTCACGTCTCTTGCGATTGTTTGCAGGTCCGCGATCGCAATCACAGGGCGATCAACGAGAGTACAAACTTCCGCGTCGTGGTGTGGGCGTTCTTCGAGGCCATGGTGCTCGTCTGCGTGACGATAGGGCAGATCTTTTACTTGAAGCGATTCTTCGAGGTTCGGAGAATCGTGTAACTTAGGGACAACTAATGATACACTACGTGAATCAATTGTACATTTTTCTATGTAATTAAATTATATATCTCATTCACGATAAGCCGTCGCCGCGGCAAACTGCGCTCACCACTTCGTCGAGGTTCGAAACTGTGCATCGCTAGCATTAAGGTATTTCCTACATCTGTGTATAGTTTCTAACGAGCGAGTCGGCTTGTAACTGAGCGAGAGACCGGGGCGAGGACTCGACGTTGGGAAACGTCGAGAAGAGGTGAAACATGTCTGTAATAACGAGGGGAAAACAAAAAATACACACGCATCTTTCTGTAATTGTCGGTGATTGTATTCGGCGGGCGATACGCGTATCCGTAGCTCCATCTTACACTTTGTAAAACTTCGACCGGCGACGCGGCTGAAAGGCCTAATGGTCCTCGCCCGAAACCGGCTCGTTGCCGATCGTCCTTCCTGTCGCGCGTGTCTAATTAACGGCATTCGCCCGGCGCGATAATGGACGAGTCAATCGGCAGGGACGATTTCCTGCGGGGAGAAAAACGCGCGAGGGACGCGATAACGATCGTCGGGGCAGAGCCTGACATTTTTCCTCGGCGGCAGCGTTTCGTGGCGTAAAGGCCTTCAATTAATGTTACCCCGTTGAGCGCTGGTCGGGAAAAGGGAACAGAATCTGCCGCAATTAAGGTGACCGATCGCGCGTGTCGTTTCGATCGGCGGCGTGGCGGGGGGGGGGGGTAGGGTGAGGACGTTAAGAGGGTACGGGCTAATCGATGGCGATCACCGTATTGGCGCTGGGACGCTCGACGGGTTCGTGTCGCGACGTCGGTACGTTTTTTCCCATACAAAGATAGCACGATGGGGGGGAGGGGGAGGCGGCCGCATCGTCAAAGCGACGCGTACGCGATGACGTAACGGGTTATCGATTACGTTCGCGACACGTGTGCGAGCACGTTGATCGGGAACGTGACGCCCCCGATCCTCGGGGCGGGAGAGCCTCGCCGAGATTCGCCGACGGATAGACGGGGGGACGAAGGGGGACACCCGCGGTGAAATCGGCCCGCGGCGCGAGAGAGCGATCGGCATTGCATTGCTCTCCGGAATGGAAGAAGCCAATTAAAGGTGGGAGGGTTGGAGGGTCAGCAGGAGTGGGGGAGGAGAGCGCGTAACGGTATAATTAAAGGGAAGAGAGGCGATCGTGAAAGAAAGCGCGCCGATGAATAAAACCGTATCTCCTCATCGCGCGGCCGCCGGGGGCTCTAACGAGCGGGCGGACTTTTTGGTTTCTCTTTCATAAATGGGGGGCCGTTTATCGCCGCGCGCGCGCGCGCGCGCGGGTAAAGCGCCGATTACGGGCGACGGCCCGGCAATCACGCCGCGCATTTAGCGCTAAACGCCCCTCCTCCCCCCCTCCGCCCCTTCGTATCCGTCGATCTCCGTCGCGTGTTCGATATCGAGCGCGATCGCAGCTGCGCTCGGGCGCCGTGGACGGTCCAGCGGGGAAAAGGATAGAGGGTGGCTGCGGCTCCGATTAACTTAATCTGTAATTTACTTATCGCTGTATCTGTAATTTACTTATCGCTAGTATCTGCGCTGTTTGTGGCACGGGCAGAATTATTTGTTCTTCGGCGATTAGCACGCGAAGAGACAATTTGGATCGGGGACGACGAATTACGCGCGGTGAAAAATGCCGCTCCGAGCGAGCCTTGAATTAATCGCGCGTGCAGATTAATAGGAATCTGGTCGGAGAATCTGTCCGAGAGACTCGTCGCGTCGCATTCTCGCTGATGCACCCTCGTTTAGTAGGAGTGGCCGGGCGAGATCTGTTCCAAGTATCAAAATTGAAGAGTTGCCATCTTGATTTATGACAACTTATTCTACATTTCGTTGCGTGCGATTAACAAATAATGATACGCGAGTTATAATTTGTATACACGACAGTCGCTCGCAATTTTTCCGTTGCAATTGGAGCAGACTAGCAATTCTCTATCTTACGCACAATGTTACATCTCTTGCACGTTTTTATGGTTGTAACATCGGACTTTAGACGAGTGACATCTTTTTTCCGAGAGGCTCGGACATCTACGGGACAAACAGGTGGATAGAATCGGAAGACCGTATTTTCGCGGTTGAACGCGATGCCAACTCAAGAGGATAATGAGGATCTCTAGAGATTCTAAAGTAAGAATCTAAGACAGAAAAACGAAGTTCTGACTATTACACTTTCCGTTTCCGGAAGATCTTCCGGAAAGAAAAATCTTGCACGATTTTGTGTCCTCGTCAATTTGATTCGTTTGGACAAAGGGAGGAAACCTTCATACAGATACATCTCGAAGCGATTTATTAATTTACATTAGTGTAGTATTAAATATGCGTTAACCATCTTTCTTAGATTTCGCGCTTCGCTTTAAATTTATATCGAGTTCTGTCAAACATTTCGGATATTATACATTTGTGTGACACACTAAACCCAATCGGGCCTTGAAAGAAATCCTCAGGATTTTCGGGTAACCCTGTTCGAGTGGCGGCCTTGTTACACGAGAGCGGCTCGAAGGATGCCGAGGATTAATTGGCGGGTCCGATCGCGCGCGCCGCTACCCCCTTGCCCTGTGCCTCCTCTCGACCTCCTCTCCCTTCCCTCGCGCGGCGATCCCTTCGAAGGGGTTGCACGCCACGTCGGATCTCCAGTCGGAGTGGTGAGAGAAAAAAAAAAGAAGCGCGCAGAGGAGGAACGAAAGAAAGGAGCTGCTAATTGACACGGGCGATTGCACGTAACGGTATAATTAGAGAAAAGAATACGGAGAGCCCGGGTCCGGTGCACCGATGAAACCAATGAACCAGCCACCGCGCGGCAAAGGGAGAGGGAAGAAACGAGAAAGGCAAAGAGAGAAAGAGAGAGTGGGAAAATACGGCGGGCGGAGCGGCGGGAGAGAGATGAACGGAAAGGCAGAAAAGCAGCAGGGGAGAGAAGCAGCCGGCGGGTTTCGTGCGACCATCGAGGGGTTCCCTCTCCGAGAGAAAGAGCCGCGGGCCTACGGTAAGACGAGAGAGAAAGAGAGAGAGGGAGCGGGAGAACGTAATCGCGAGGGCGAGGGAGAGAGCGAGAAGCGCTGGTCGAAGAGACAGAGAAGGGGTACGCGACGACCACGGGGAGCAGGAGAGAGAGACCGGGATAGACAGAACGAGGGGGGAGGATCGGGAGGGAGAGCGAAAAGAGAGGGACCATAGGCTCGTGGACCCTGCCGCGATCATTCTGTACCAACACGCCGCGCCGGTCGGTTTCGCAGCGTTCCCAGGGCCCTCCGATAACACCACGAGGAGGAGCAGCAGCCGTTCTCCAACGAGGTCACTTCCGCGTACCCCCGTCGAGGGAGAGAGCCCCGTTCTGGAGGAAAAGTCACCGGGTCCCCGAACTGGCGAACATCTCCGTTCTTCTTCTTCTTGTTCTTCTTCTTCTTGCCGCGAGGTACGAGGACACCGCAGGACGAGACTCGGAAAGTGAACCCCCATCGGTGAAAGGTGCCGCGAGAGCCCGTTCGTTTATTTTTTTCTTCCGTCTTCCGGGAGCTCGATTCCGCCGGGACCAGGCCTCTTCGTCGGGACGATTGTTCGCTGGGCGAGGTATCGCCCGCTCTTTGATCGAGAAGCGCCGTTGGCTCCGAAGAGGATACCGCGAACATCCAGGAAAGGCGATCGCCAGTCTTGGAGCGGATAGAGATCTGGCGGTCTTCGAGCTTCAGCGGGATCCCTCGTCCATGCCGTCGTCGGCGGTGCCGATCTTGCGGCCCGTCGAGAGGGATTTAACAGAAAATCGGATTATATGGTGAACCGATCGCCCGAATGCTGAAGAATCCGAGGAACTTTATGCGACATACAAAAACGAATGCTCGGGGGGGATCGTCGAATAATGCACCTCGGTAGCTCGCCTTTATCTCGGGCGTTCGATCGGATGACAGGTTCTCCAGTAGAACAAGAACGACGACCGTCTACAGGCGCATCCGTGCGGAACATAGTCGAGCTATAAGTTCAACGTCGAGAGCCGTTGAAGCGGCAATTAATGCGACGCATTAAGGATCGAGGGCGCGATCTTGGACGCGATCGACGTCTCGAGCGTATCCTCGTGGAGTGAGGATCGCGAGAGCGGGATCTCACGCGGGCAGTCGCGCCGAACGGCGCGACTCGTTTACTCGGGCTCGCGGCGGCGGCGAAAGAGTTCGGCGGAAATTATTCCGTCAAGATCGCAATCGCGCGCTGGCGTGACCGCGCGAGCAGCTCGCCCAGGCGATCAGGTTTCGCTCCGAGAAGAAATCTCGCTCTTCCAGCGCGTTCTCCGCCGCGCTGCGCCGTGCAGGGGAAGGTTCGCCAAGTAGTACTCGATCCACGGCCGAGTACTCGCCCGATCCTCGACCCGATCTTCTCCGTGCGATCCGAGAGACCTGGCGAACCAATTATGCGAGTCGGTAGGTGTTATGAGCCGCAAAATGAGACGTGAGACGGCGCGGAGTCGTGTCGCGCGAGGCAGGAGAGGAACGTTTCCGTCCGGAGGACTGTTCACGATTCAAAGGACGAGGTCCCGTCGCGACGATTCCCGATAAGGAGAGGGCGAGATCGATTCGCATATCGCGATCGGCGCTATCGCGGAAGGACGAGCGAGCGATACGAGATTATCCCGGCGAGTCGAGCCGGGGCGCAATTATCTCCGAGACTTAACGACTGCGGCTTGCTCCGTTCCGGTGAGTAATTATTCAATTAAACGGCAACTCGCCGTGGGTCACCCCGGCGAGTTTAGTATAATGGTCAATTCGCCGTGATGAACGCCGCACGATTATTATTCTTAAGATAATAAATATTTCGGAGTCGGAACGCAGGGTATAGAAGTGCATAATAACTGCGAAACCTAATTACTTATTAGAAAATTGTTTAATTTCATCTCATTTCATTTATTGCAAAACGGGGGAGACGGTGAAAGAAAAAGTAATACAAAAAAGATTTAATTTAAATTAGAAAATGGGAAAGATACCCGTCGCGGTTTGAAGGAGGACCGGGTTCAAATCCTGGCTGATATTTTTCGCAATAAATTCTAGTGGTATTTAAATAGCATCGAAAATAAAAATTGTTTATCGATTTCAGTGTGTGAATTTACAGTTTTAATAAATGAAGGATTGTGCTTTTTAAGACCGACAAACAATCAGCGCGCAGTTTATTGAGTGAAACGTGTAGGAAATGAGCACAAAATTATTATTAGGCTACGAAAATCGAGGACCGAAAATGGCATATCATAATCATTCGCATTTAATGGAAAAGTTGATAGTTATTTTGTACACGTGGATACAAGTGATTCTTCTTTATACGCGCGAGTATTGCGAGTAAACAGCCGAGGATCATAATAAATTAAAAACTTTTGTCGGTATAAAAACGGAACGCACCCGTTTCTGCCACCGCAGATTAATTTCAATCTCATTGTCAGCTTAAATTGCTTCCAGCCTTTTTCTAATTTTTGAAATTAGAAAAAGATACAAAGTGAGTTGAACCGAGATTCAAGTTGATCTGCGTTGGTAGAAATGGAAATAAGGGCCAGTTTCACAAACGTCAGTTAATTGCTAACCGGAGGTTAATCAATCTTCTCTGTCTTTTCTTATTGTTAGATAATAATATAGAAAAAGATAATAATACACGGAGAGAATTTTCTTTTAAAGTTCATCCTGAAAATCGTGTGATCGTGGGACAACACGGCATTTCGAAGACTTTTATGAGAGCTTTTTGAAATTTTACCACTTACTAGTAAACTTGCTAGTAAAATGTATGGTACAATTTAAAAAAAAAACTCATAAAATTCTTCGAAACACCACGTTGTCCCACGATCACATAATTTTCAGGCAAGATTTTCAGAGAAAATTCTCTCCGTGTAGAAAATAGGGAGTTGACAGTCTCTGGTTAACAACTAATCGACGTTTGTGAAACTGGCCCAAAGAGCACATGCCTCGATAGAAGAACGAGACGCCGTTTCTTCGAATGTCGGCTAATAACAGCGATGGGAACAATTAGAATTATGCGATTCCAAAAGCGCGTACGCGGACGATTCTTATATTTCATCGCGGTCTTCCCGTGATAAAAAAAAACTGTAAGGCTCGGCGAAGAAATACGCGTAATGCGCGAACGACGCAGCCTCGCGGATCGAAACACGCGTTCGGACAACTGTCAACCGTCGTAACAGGATCTCGTTAGCGGGCGGTCGTTACAGTATACGCGATGACGGTGTACGGTGGCGATCCGATACTCGACAAGAGCGTCCGCCGAGATAAGCTTTCATCGGCGCGATCGCTCGCCCGCGTCGCGAGAGGGTCGCGACTCTAAGGACGCTCAAACCCATTCACCTTTCAGCTATTGTCCGTGAGCGTAATTCTAGATTTTTTTTCATAAAGTAATCTGCAGACGCGGCGCGCACCTGCATCCGTCGAACGCTCCGAAATCGGTCCGTCCCGATTCCACTCGAAGAGGACGAACGTTGTGCAGTGGAAATCGGCACTGATCGAGCCCGCCAGCGGCTTTAGGATCCCCTTAAATATTGTACTCCAGTTTGTATTCTCGTATAGCGTTCGCGTGGCCGGTCGCAATGCATATAAATCGTAACTTTCTAAGAAACACATTTCCGAACGTGTGCCGGGACTTTCTCGCTCAAAATCGAATCTCCGCCCGAGATCCCGATGCCCCTTCGCTCGATTTCATCCGGAACGTGATTGACGTAATAAAATTGTGCCTCTCGCGGACAAAGATTGCCGGATTCCCGGAGAGATATCGCCGCGGAGAAAGAGAGATATCGCAAACGAGCGTGGAAATCGACTCGAGATACGAGCCGTGCCGTAGTCGCGAGAATTTCCGCCCGATAGTCGCTGGACCGGCAATGATTTACCGATGTCTCGGTGGATTAATAGGCGAGCCCCCACCCCTCCTTTTAACGGCCTGCCCGGAGTTCATCTCGCAAATGACCATTCCGTTATGCCTCGACTTTGCTCCACTTTGCGACCGTCACGAACAATAGGCACGCTCCGGCAAGCGTCATCGATCTCATTTCCGTGGACCGTGGATGTCATTTCTCACGGGATGTTATTTGCCAAGGGATGATCAATAAGGGTCGATGATTCCGCAGAGAGAATCTGATGATATTACATGGTATGTCCCAAAAGTAATGCGTCGCATTTTTTTTGACGCGACTATATGTCGCAGAGCGGTCAGACCGATTTGGATAGGATGGGGGAAGTTTAAGCTTTCCAACGGTTCCGCGCTGAGTTCTCTCCGTGCCCTGGGTAGGTCACAACGTGTCTGTTTGTGAGCTCCTGTGTAGAAGTCTCGTACTTTTCGGTATGTTCAATAAATCCGACATTAACCGAACACTCATTCGACGGTCAGAATTCAGCAACTGGCGCACACGAGTCACACTGTCGTCGTTTCGCGACGTTGCGTCCTTGGCGGGCTTCGTCGGCGACCTCCTCCCGGCCTTCTTTGAACATCTTGTGCCACCTGTTTGACCGCGATCTGGACAGACAATCGTCACCGAAGGCTTGCTGAAGCATCTCGAAAGTTTCCAGCGGCGTCTTGTTCAGCTTCACGCAAAACTTGATCACGTATCTTTGCTCTACAGTTTTCTCCATCGTAAGTACGACGAGACTTCTACACAGGAGCTCACAAACAGACACATTGTGACCTATCCAGGGCACGGAGACAACTCAGCGCGGAACCGTTGGAAAGCTTAAACTTCCCCCATCCTATCCAAATCGGTCTGACCGCTCTGCGACATATAGTCGCGTCAAAAAAAAATGCGACGCATTACTTTTGGGACATACCTTGTATAATTATCCCCGTTTTCTACGCGTATAAAAGAGAACGCCCGTGCGTTTTCTTTATTTAATTTCTAAACCCTTTCTGGACTAAATTTTGCACAGTTACTCTCTGGAATGTCATGTTGTCGTAGAGGAGCTTTAAGATCAAGGGGGTCAATTCTGTATCTTACACTATAGTGAAAAAAAGCGAGTAGCTTTGTCTCTTTCTAATCGTCCCCTTAGAGCCACTCACTTTTATTTTCACTATTATTGTAAGATACAGAGTTGACCCCTAGGTGACAGCTTTGGCCTCACCCCCGCCTTTTCCAACTAATATATATGATTGCTTCAGATTGACCTGCTTTATTTTAAACATTTTGAAATCCTCTTGAAAACGGAATATAATCAAATGACAAATGGCATCAAAGCCATGGCACGCGGCATGGTTTATTCTCTGCTAGATTTATCGGAAGAACAAAAGAAAAACGCAAGGGCGTTATGGCAATTTCAACAGACTACTTCGGTTATTCTCTATGCTATTTTTTACGGTGAGGGGTTGTTAGCCTCTCGCCAACCCCCTTTTCGGAGGACAGGGATATGTGTGGCAGGATACTCTCGGTTAGTTGCCACTTATCTCCGAGAGAGAGGTAGCGTCCGTAAAAACCAGCGGTATCCGTGGGTGGATTTGAACTCGGGTCTTCTCGTTCATTTGTTTACTAAGCTCGCCACGCTTTTCCCAACTGTTACTGCCACTACTACTCCGGGATCTTGTGGAAAATGTATAGACTTCCAAGTAACGTGGACGCACCTCCCCTTCATTTTATCTCTCTGTGATAAATTACGTTTAGTGCATTAACAACTCAAACTATTATACCTACATGTGAATTTGTAAATTATACGCCACTAGAAATTAATTTAAATATTTAATTGTTTGATTTGCACATTTTCACAAAGTTCTGGATATAAGGAGCCCGGGTGGTTTAAGCTGGTCCCTAATATTTCTTCTAGCGAATTCGGTTGCTTAAACTAGTGCGCACTGAGCGCACACTAAGGCTTGTTTACAGCCAATTCTTGTATTTAAGGATCGTCTTAAATATCCCTTGAAATACTCCGTAGCCAGCAAAATAATCTGTATATCATCCACGTGGATAATTTTTTTGGCTAAATACTTTTTGAACGTGTATTTAAGACAAAGTTAAATATAAGAATTGACCATAAACAAGTATTAGTGTGCACTCAGTGCGCACTAGTGCAACCGAATTTGCTATTAGTTTCCTTTTCTTCGCACCGACGATTTTTCCAGACGAGAGCCGACGCGATCGGCTCGCCGTCCTATGCCCTCGGGGAAATATTTTCCAACTGAATTTCTCGCTTCGCTCTCGGCCTCTCTCTCTCTCTCTCTCTCTCTCGCCGTAAAATTTCGCCGTAAACACACTCCGTGTCCTCGGACAATCGGAAAAATAGCACGAGCGCGCGCGACGCGGTAAAGAGGAGGAACTCGATCTCTCGCCGCGCCCGGAGATTGTTTAATGACGTCGGTCGTTATCGGGCGAATAATATCGCGTCGCAACGTTCGCCCGCCGCCGTTCCGCGTCCGCGACGACGCCTTTTAAACGAGGTGAAAAGCGTGTTTTAAAACTGCCGAACGTTTTACGACGTCGCGTCGCCATTAGCCGCGGAAATATTCGCCGGGTAAGATATTTCGCGCGACGCATCATCGACGCATTATGCGCCGCTCTCGCGCGTGGGGGCCCCGTCGCGGGGCCCGTACGACGGACTGAACTGGCCCCGGAGGTGCAATCACCGGGGGATCGTCTCACGGAACGTTTAGGGACGCGGCGCGGCGGTGTAACGACAGCTCTCGCGGATCCGGACTTCGTAATACGACGGTGATCGACAACGAGGCCGTGTACTCCATTATCTTAGATCGGATCGGGCCGCGATTATCCCGGACCGGACCCCCTTGATCGCGCGCGCGAGCAGAAGAGAGAAAGGACCGTCGAGTGATCCCTCGCGGAGACAATTTCCGGCACTTTTCACGTTTCCGAAAGCGGGACTCTCCTACGATGGGTCTAATCTCATTAAACTTGTTATTGTCGCGTTATTAACGTAGAGGAAAGTTCGCTATTACGAGATAGGATCCTAATATGGGATAGCTCCATTGTTAGATTGTATGATTGTTGTGAACAAAGATTTGTGAACTGAATGTGGGTGGTAAAAACCTGCTAGCTTATATTAGAAACCTATCTCATAAAGGACTTTCCTCTAATCTCATTAAACTTGTTATTGTCGCGTTATTAACGTAAAGAAGTCCCCTATTACGAGATAGGATCCTAATATGGGATAGCGGGGTTTCTGTTAAATTGATAGGCATCATCAGTTGATTCCGCCATGAATTTATTGCCCTTGGAGCGAAATCTGTTTAGTGGAAAATTCATTGGTAGATTGTATGATTGTTGTGTAGAAAGATTTGTGGCTGAGTGTGGGTGGTAAAAACCTGCTATCTACTATTAGAAAGCTATCTCGAAAAGGACTTTCCTGTATCAATGCGTGCCGTTACGCTTGATTCGTAAAATCACTCGATTCGTTGAGGAAATCCATTGAGTTCCCCGTATTGTTTATGGTCACGTGCGTTACGATTCAAAACGAGAAGGTACGACGTCGTTACACCGATACCTCCCAATTAAAAGTCAGTTCTCCCGGGGATAAATTAGTGCGGCTGAATGTTAATAAGGTACCTTCACGAAAGCGTCGTAAAAGTTATGAGTTACGATTGGATGGAGTGCTGGATACCTACGCACGTACAGTGAGCGTAATCAACGATTACAATGTCCGACGAGGGCCTTTTGTGTCCCTTTCACGTGTCTGTAAAAAGGGGCTGTCTCCCTCTTGATGTACGTAATTACTCTTCAGCGTCGCTGCAATCTTTCTGAGTACTCTCCACTCGCCTCGCTCGCTTTCGCCCGTTCGATCAGTTTTACCAAATAGCGCCTGTGTCCTCGAACTGACTTTTCATCGAACGCTACGTCTTGAAAAATCATCAGAAATTAGCGTGCGATCGACAGCAGGGGCTCGATTCCTGAATTCACTCCAAGGAGAAACGTATGCGAAAATTCGGCTCTTACAGAGAAGTTGCAAGCTGATTGGCTGTTCGCGTGGTTCTTAACCAATTGACTTTTCTGTGAGGGCAGGATTTTTGCATACGTCTCTCCTTCGAATGAATTCAAGAATCGAGCCCCAGAGTGCCCAGACAGCACAGTGAATTCGCAAAGTATCACGGAAAGAAAAATGTAGTTGCCGTAGCTAAAAACTGCTTGCGGCAACTAAATTTCAGTTGTAAAATATGGACAGCTAATATTTAGTTGCGATAGCTAAATATTTTGCTACTTTGCCTATTGTATTAGAATGCGATAGCAAACCATGATTAGCTACGCTAGCGAAAACGTCCTTTTCAGCGGGGGCGATTAAGTCCCATTTCTATTTTAAATTTAAGGATCTATCTTTAAACACTTCGCATCTCTCCCGCATGATCGATCTCCCGCGAAAACAACGTGCGTCCCGTGTATACGTTGTATTACAGGCCCTCGGATTATATGCGAGGCACGCCGTACACTCCTAAAAGGCAGGACGATCCTCTCCGTCGAACGGAGTTTGTGTTTCCGCAGTCGACTGGTTTTTCTCCTATCTGAATTGTTCTAGCAAGTCGTATCCTTCGCGCAGGCTGTATTGACAATCGTCGACCGGTCTCACTGTACTCGCGGTATACCCCTCTTTCTCCGCGGTCCCTTTCCCCCTCCCCCTCCCCCCCCCCCAGAGTTCTCCACCGCCTTTTCTCCGGCCTTCCTCTTTCGCTTCGTCTCTCAGCTTCCTCCTCTCTTTCCTGCCGTTCGCGGGGCCCCTTCTGCATCCCCTGCCCCCCTCTTTACCCCTTTCTCTCCCGTCGTCCAGCTTGCCGCTCTCTCGGCACCGGTAGGCTCTCGTTTTCCTCCGCGTACGCGCACCTCGAGTGTGTGTACACTCCGTCCTTAGCTTCCAGCTTCGTTAAGAGGGCTCGAGTCGTCGTCTTGGCGCGCTCCGTGAAAATCTAGAGCCTATTGCCCCCCCCCTTCTCCACCCCCACCCTCGGGGGACCGTTTGACGCGACTCGGACCCTCGAACGCGCGCTCTCTCTCTCTCTCTTTCTCTGACTCTCCGCGCGCTGTCTTATCTAGTGAATACAATTAACGGCCTACCTGTATCGACGGCTCTGATCCGCGTCCATGTACCAGAGGTCCTTAAACGTGAATTTTGTTCACTCTTTTTTCCCCCCCCCCCCGGGACCAGCATTTTATCTGCTCTATCATTCACCCTGTGAATAAATTCGCTGTTGAAAAATCTGAGATAACGCTAAATTATACGACAGGATATAACAACGCAATAAAGCAAGTATGAGCTATTAATTTATTACGAGTAAGTTCGCTTTAAACGCGACTTTGTTCTTAAAATGACATCGTTGAGATGCGCGAGGGATTTTTGAGGTCGAGTCGAATGGTTGAAATATAATTTTTAACTAACAACATATAATTATTAGATTGCATCTTAATTCGTTGATAAGAGAATAATTTAATGTGGGGAAACATTGATATAAATTCGTCTTAAGGTAAATTAAGGCACATTTAAATGGCTGCTTACGTTCTTAACAGTCACTGGTCATTTCCCTTGAGTCTTAAGTATTACTACTTAAGTTTCTTCGTGTGTCCGAGCCTCTAGCCAACGATTGTAGTACTGGGGCCCGATTCTCGAAATCATTCGAAGAAGAAACGTACATTATACGAACATTCTGCTCTGACAGAAAAGTTGAAAGTCGATTGGTTAAAGCCACGCGAATAGCCAATCAACTTGCAACTTTTCTGTGAGAGCAGAATTTTCGCATACGTTTCTCCTTCGAATAAATTCAAGAATCGAGCCCCTGGACGCATCCACTGACTGTCTATTAACACGACTGTATTGTTTCGCTTATCAACGGGAAATACGAGAATCACAATACTTAAGCCGGTATCCATAGTTCTTATATTCAAGACCGTCTTAAGATCAACTTTAACAGGGTTGGGAAAGTTACTTTATGAAAGTATCTAGTTACAGTTACAGTTTTTTTTCGCTAAAAATGTAGCTAGTTACAGTTACTCAAAAAGTAACGAATCGCTACTTCGCAGTTAGTTTTTTTGCAATAAAAATAAAAATATCAGATCTGCATTTGAATTGTAAAGCATCGATAAAAGCGTTTACGCGCAAACGCAAGGCCTAATGCGATCTGTGTAGGTTTAAAAAATATATAAAGTAACCATTAATGTAACTGAGTTAAGTTACAGTTACAGACGGAGAGAAAGTAACGAAATTAAGCTAGAGTTACCAAAAAAAAAAGTAACTGTAACTTCGTCACAAGTAACGAATTACTTCCCAACCCTGATCTTTAGGTACTCCGTAGCCAATGAAATTGGCTCCAAGCAGCATCTTTAGATAAATCCAAGACGGAGTCTTGAATACAAAATCTGACTGTGAATACCGGGCGCTACACTTGACGAATAGTTCGCACTCAAATCGCAGAAACTCAAATTTGAATAGTTTGCACATTTCTACGATATCGTCGTTTATAATCCAGAAATTCGAGAACGGACGACAGAGAGAATGGGATTTTGCAGCTCGCATCCCATGTTAATTGACAAGTTTTACTTTAGCATACAAAAAGTGCACAAAATTCACACATAAGTATTATTATTAAGCTACCAAGAGAGAGATCCAAGCCAAGGAGGACGTCTCCTCCCTTTTAATTGCAAGTTTCCCTCTCCCGCCAATTCCCCGCGAAGGATCTGCGATATCGCCTTAACGACGAGAGTAAATCGTCGCCCCGCGCGCTACGAATCCGAACGTTTTAATCGGCCCCGAGTTGCGTTACGATCGCATTTTACGATTCGGCAGCTGGCGCGTTACCGGCCTCTGTCACGGGGATTATGCAAGCGCGACTACTCGAGTAGCTAAGCAAAGTGCGTCGTTATGCACGTGCACCTAATATTAGATTTGAGATTCTCTCTCTCTCTCTCTCTCTCTCTCTCTCTCTCTCTCTCTCTCTTTCTCGCTCTCGCTCTCTATCTCTGCTTCTCCTCCTTTTGTTGCTCATTATAACTATACGACGCGGCCGTACGGAATCGGCAATTGGCTCATTCCGTAGCAGACGCAACGGCGCTCATTGCATCCTATATCGCCCGGTCATGTCTTGTTCAGCCGCGAGCCCCCAGCGAGATGCTTTACCGCTGATAATCCGCGGCCGGTCCGCGGCGAGGACGCGTACCGGCCGAGGTGCGCGCCGTTTACATTCCCGCCGTGATCGCAAATGCGTTTTATGCGCCGGCTAATATCGCCGGGCCGATCGCGTGGGCTAGATAGACGGGGCGATGTGCCGTATAAGCACGCGCGCGCGCGCGCGCGCGCGCCCGCGCGTATACACCTGCGTGCGTACACGTGTGTTTATACCAGTTTCCGCGGCAGGGATGTACAATACAGCAGCCACCGAGTGAGAGCTAGCGCTCCGCGAAAGCGGCAGGGAGCTACCGCGGGCTCTCCTTTCCCCGCCGCGTCGAGCGAATTCTGCGCAGAAGTGAATCGGGACGCGTGCCGCGATCGAGACGATCGTTCTTTCGGAATGGACGATCCATTCTGTAGATCTCGAGACGCGCGTTTTTTTTAGTTCAGCTTCATCTCATTTGTTTCGTTAGTTGACTTTTTACGCAGGTTCAGGGTACTATTACGCTTACGTCGTAAATTTTTTAAGCGCGTTGATCGGCTACAAGCTGGAACATTTCTAGACTCGGCAACTCTTCTGTTCTGCAGCCAATAACGCGCTTGAAGAATTTACTTTGAATGAAATTACGGTTTTTCAACGTGATTTTTCAAATCTAAGAGTTTACTTAAGAAAATTTAGAGTAATTTTCGACACTTGAAGTAATTTTCAGACAGCCAAGCCTGTCGAAGTTCCCGCTAGAGGGCCGCGCGGCATAGCACTTTCTCGTAAGAAGAAATTCTCGTAAGAAAAATATATCACATACTTTTCACAATTCTTAAAGTAAGTGCTAAGTTTACCTTAAATAAAAGTTTAAAGTGCCCAAATTTACTTCTCGCGTTTCTTAGTTTTCCAAAGTCAAATTTTAAGCAATGCAGAAAATTGCATGACGACCAATGGCTGGCAAATTCTAATCAAAGAGATTCATTGCGAAAAATATTACATTGGTTAATCAACTACTGGCGTTAAATCATTCTTCACGTCAAATGTTAAGCTTTTCTAAGGTATACTTTCCCAAGGGGAGAAATGATTCGACGTCGATCGACGAGTCATTTCTCACCGAAGTCCGAAGGTAGGACCTCGATAAACGATCTTTAGACACCGTAAAACAGAATCATCCGCGAAAGTCGGTCCCAATCGGAAGAACAACCGCGCGTAGGACTAATTACTAGATCGGATTGACGAAATCTCCGCGGCCCTCGGTAACCCCGCGTCGCACCGTTATGTAACTTGAAAGGGTCTCCACTCGACGTTGTTTACATATCGCGGTTGCAAGGTGGTGCTCGACGTTAACGAAGACGGACGTAGGAAACGGGCTCGCGCGCGTTTCGGCTACGTCACTGTCCCACGTGGGCAGCGGGGCCAGGCCTCTTCGCGGGCTGACCTCGGGGACGAAGGGACAAACCGAGTCTCCGGGACGATTGCGGTGTCACCGCCGCTGCGACGTTACACCTTGCGCGCGCCCGCTCGTCGCGCTCTCACGTTGCGCAAACTGTTGATATCAGTCCGGGTGTTGAGTTACGATTTGCAGGGTCTATCAGTCGCGCTATCGCGCCCTCCGTGCGGAATAATACTCGTCATGCGGAAGGACCGCGAGAAGAGCGCGAGGCTCTCTTCTCGTCGCGACGCCTTCGTGTCACTGATCCCGTTTCAGTGCTTCGCTGTACATTATTGAGTCGTGGACACGAGATCGAACATGCACGAGCGATTCTTATCTGCGGTCTGAGTAATCAGATGCGTCGTTAATGAACGAACTGCGGATTAATCCCGCGGCAGATGTGGATTATTTATCATCCTCTTATCGCGCTTCGAAAGCTGATACGCGAGGGATACCAGATCGCGGCTATAATGTTCCGCGGAAAAAAAACAGAGTTGCAATCGTTACATTTCATTAAATTCCTAATTAAGATACCGACTACTAAATTTATCTTGTTAATTTCAACTTCTAAATGTTGTTAGCTTCTAAGCGCACGGCACGAATCGGACTTTGCGAGCTTCATCAAGATCAGCAGCTAATATGCAACGGATACCAGTCCACGGTTATGCTAGTCTGCGAACGATATTTTGCGAAAAAAAGGGGGTTGCAATCATTACATTTTATTGAATTCTTAATTAAGATACCAACTACTAAATTTATATTGTTAATTTCAACCTCTAAATGTCGACAGCTTCTGAACGCGCGGCACGAATAGCCGCTCCTCGATTTCCTCCATTTCTAGGCTTCACGAGCCTTCAAGTTCAAAAGCTAATGTACGACGAGCACGGTTTTAATAGTCCGCGAACGATATTTTGCATAAAAAAAAACCAGCTGCAATCCCTACATTTCATTAAATTCTTAATTAAGATACCGACTACTAAATTTATGTTGTTAATTTCAACTTTTAAACGTCGGTAGCGTCTAAACGCGCACGGAGCGAGCCGCCGTTTCCTCGGTTTCTAGGTTTCGCGAGCTTCAAGAGCTCCGGGCCGAGTGCGCGGCGTTTAATTGAGGCTCGATTTTTCCACCGGCGACCGTGTGATGCATCGATCCGACCTTGATTTCACCGTACCGCGGTCACCGCTCCTTTTTCGTTCGGTCAGGCACGATTTACGGCCGGGTCTTGCCGATGCGGCGATTAACACGGTGCCTCCGCTCGCGCCGCGAGTTGGCCCGCAATATACGAAATTACCGATTTCCTCCGATGCTTGCAGGGGTGAAGGAGAAGGATGACGATGCGAGGCAATGGTCCACTCCTGATGTTGCGATCGCTGATGGTCGCCGCCGCCGCCGCCGCCGCCACCACGACGGTACCGGGGACCTGGATGTGAGTATCTTCCAGCGTCTTTCGCGTGTGACGCGACGACGTTTCCTCTCCTCATTTTGTCCCCGCCGAGAACCCGATCGAAGGTGTCAAGCGGTTTCGCGTATTTATAGTTGGACGGGACGCGATTACTTTTTTTCATTAGGCTCGCGCGACTCTTAAAATAAGCCGACGCCGAAGGACAAGGGGTGCCCTACATATCGCCGATCGAAGGATGAACTAACCGCCGCCGTGCCGGTGGGGTGCCGGCTCTTACGGTGGAAGAGGAAGCTTCATTATGCGAACGTCGTTTCATTGAATTTCCGACGATCCGGACGCCGTAATCGCCCCTGACGTCGGTTAATTGAAATCCCGTTGTATACGGACGCGAAGCACCGTGAGAGGCGAGCGAATTAATCTACGGGCTAATTAATTCAACTAAATTGCTAAGCCGTGGTACAACTTGCTCGCTCTGTCACTTGTTTCGTTTTGCGTCGATCATTTCTGCGCACCCGCCATTTTTCATCGAAATCTCTCGCCGAAATCAGTGTGACAGTGACTACGTTTCCACCAAGGGTCAGAATCGGGTTGGGGTGAGCGCTTCGGTGGAAACACCAAATTCGAACCAGAACCCTGCCTTATAAAATTTTAAGGTAAAAACAGAATCGAGGTAAATCAGAAAGCCACTTATTACTATTTAACTTGTTGGCAACATTACAGGAACCTAGCAAGACTTTTGTCGTTTCCACCGGACCTCATCAACCTTGAAATTTTATAAGGTAAGGGTTCAGGTTCAAGTACGGTACGTCTCCACCGCAAGATCGCTCACCCCAACCCGATTCTGACCCGACTCTAGCCCGACTCTGACCCTCGGTGGAAACGTAGTCAGTGTGACAGGATTTTATACCAAAAACATGGCGGAATACCACGTGATCGAAACCAAAGAGATCAAAGTTCACTAGTTACACTATGGTATAGCTCAGAGTTGGGTAGTGTCTAGTTAAAAAGATGTAATTTGAACTTAACTTAGTTATAAAAAAAAACAGATAACTTATCCAACCCTGGTATAACCAGTATGTTCACTCTCTGTCGGCCCTTTGGTCTTTTCGATCACGCAATGGTATTCCGCCATTGCTTTGGTCAGCAATCCAGCCGTATGTGTGTGTATGTACGTACTCGTCAAAGCTACGCCACCACACATACAACTTTTTTCTCATTGACTGTGGCCAACAAAATGCCGGGTGCGCAGAAGGGACAGCCCAGTGTGTACTAGTGCAAGCAACCGCAATGGGAAAAAATTGTTCGCTACCATAGCTGATCATGATTGGCCAAAAATATTTTGCTATCGTAACTACAAAGTTCTATTACAGCTAAATCTTAGTTGTCCATACTTTACAATTAGAATTTAGTTACCACATGCAGTTTTTAACTACGGCAGCTACAGTTTTTTTTCTTTTTCCGTGCGAATTCGCTATAAATGATCGGGCAGTTTATACCGAATGATTGCCGCTTCCTTACATCCCTCGTTAAAGAGGCGGTCGCGAAGCGTCGATCGAAATCCCCCGCCGGGAATCGTAAGTGAATCGAAAGCGGCTCTTTCGTTCATGGTAGTCGCGTTACCGTCTCGAATCGTCGAATTATATTCCCATCGGGAACATAATCGACTCGCGATTAATTATACGCAGCCGCGGACGATCGTCCGGTTGCGATTTAAGGATCGACGCGTCGCGCCCCGCGAGGAGACAAGTCGGCGCGCGATTCTTCACACCAGATTTCGAATTTATGGGCCTTTGTGCCCGCGAAGCGTCGTGGGAATCCGGGCGAGGTATCTTTCGTGCGCGCGGCCCCCCTGAAAACCTCTCTCTTTTGCCGCGAATGAAAGCCCCCGTTCCCAATCGAGTCGCTCGTTCTCCGCTCGCCGGGAGTGTGTCTAATCTCTGAATTGCCATTCCGACCCCTGTGTTCTACCCCGCGTGAGCATGACCAATCACCGAATGGTCCCGGACGCCCGCGCGCCTTTGTGCCCCGGCCGGATCGCCCCTCCTTCGCTCCGAATTTACCTCTCGTACCCTATCTCTCGCAAGGAGGATCCTCGCCCGCTTTTTTCTTTCTTTTCGTCGGAATGCGCTCGCAGGCCTCCCCTGAAGGCTGGCTCCTCTGACACGCTCTCGTACGGCTAATTCGGTGACGAAGGAGAGCGAGGAGTCAGCAAGTCGGAAATCGTCGCGTTTCCGACGATACGCGCATTAGCTCGGCTCCCCTCGTGTCCCGTGTCTCGCAATTCCCATGCAGCCCCCATTCCGGATTAATCGCCCGGTTGGTTAATCAACCCGGCGCGATCCTTTACGCGTGACAGTATCCCATTCCGTGCCGCGCGCGGCCGCGCGATCGCCTCGGGACACCCCGTATATGCGAATATATATATATACACCATACGCGTCTCTCGCTGCGGATGTAGCCGCAATCTCTTAGGAGACACGGGGCATTATTTTGCGGGCCCCGCGCGGCCCACGTCGCGACGACGACGGTGCCCCGCGCCGTGCGCGTTGCGTGGGCCGTGCCCCGTCGAAATATTATCGCTCTTTCCGCCGCGTGGCTCCTTCCCCGGCCCGCGCGGTTTGTCCGCGCCATTGTTTTAGGGGAGTGTAAAGCCGATGATATATCGTCACCGGAGCGTGTTCCAGAATATTAATGTCGTCTATTACACTCCCTAGACGCTCGCGCGGACTTTTACGACTCCGCTTTCTCTCTCTCTCTCTCTCTCTTTCGGTCACAGCGATACCTCGGATGGACCGCGATAGACGGGGCGAGTACCGGGATTCTGTTTTCCGATACCGGACGAGAAAACATCCTGGGAAACGTCCTAGGTGCGTTCCTTCTCTCCCGCACTTCGACGTGGTTGTTTTCGTTAACAAATCCCACTCATTGTACTATGACCCAGGCGAGAATTACTCAATTTTCAACGCGGAATCACATTTAGAGATGTGCCAACTATTTGAATACGAATCGAATCGGACTAGATCTCGCCTGATACGCGACTCGAATTTGAATTTCTGTGATTCGAATCGAAACCATTTGACAATTGCGAATGTAGATGGTTCGATTGAGAATCGTATACGGTTAATCTTATAAAAGTATGATTCTTATTAATGAAGTAGTAAGATTGCGCTAATAACAGGTACATTCGGTACAGTAGGTGCTCTCTGTGCAACCGCCCACCGCAAAAAGTTGATCAACTACAAACTATACTATTTTACTTTAATTGCTATTCATATAATTGATGATGTATAATTGGATTACATTAGAACATTGTAACAAGTTACCTGAGATTTACCTAATTATTGCGACACTGAACAAAGCAGGTGTATTTCGTCAGCTTTACGTTCAATATTAAATATGTTCCTTACGTCAAGGCAAATTTATATTATCTAATCAATATTACTATTTCCACGTCAAAATATTCTCTTACCACCTACGTGTTAAAATTCGATCTAACAACAATTATATTGTTAATTGGAAATGATTATTCAACGATTCGATTCGTATGAAATTTGGTAAAATCCGGTTCGATTTGGATTCGAAGAGGGAGGTAAAATTCGATTGGACAGAAAAATCCTCGATTCGCACATCTCTAGAGATCAGTACACCAGCAATTTGACGAAATTATGATAGTCTTCTAATAATTGCGCTGTAGAAATTCCCAAGTAACGCACGCTGTTGATACACCATACAAGCGGTCGCGTCACGTCGCCGACAATCCCAACGAGTATTCACCTGAGTCACGCTCGCGCAGGTCGTCCAGGTTGCACCGAGTCGTCGTGCAGGTTGTCGCGACTCGCTGCGTACGTCGCGGCCGGACTAAAGCGATCGCGAGACGGAAGCCCAGACTTGAGATTGCGAGATGTAATTGCAAAGTTTGCTCCTTTTCTTAAATCGCATAGCAGGAGCAGAGTACCTTGCGTGCGAGTATCAACGTGCCTAATCTTACACAGGGTGTCCTCTTCGTCGTGAACCTTCTAAGTATCTCCGTTGTTTTTGACAAGATATGAAAATGTAGGATTTACTCAAATCTTTGTAGAAAGAACAACGCGATCAGTTTTACGAGTAAATAAGGGTCGTTGGTTTCAAATACAATCATACTTATTTACAATGCGACTTTAAACATTTGCACATTTCGACTTTACTTCGCCAGCTTTAGCAATGATTTGATAACAAAGGGACTGAGAGGTCAAAGAATAAGAAGTTAATCATTCAAAAATTATCGAATAGAAAAAAGGGTATGAAATAAGATGACATTACGATAATAAATACCAATTATAATCGGCTAAAATTTGCAAATCGCACACTTTGGTCTGTATGATATGGCGCTTGGCAAAGATCAAGCCCATTCTGCATAAAATAGATCATATCGATAGATTAAAATGTTCACGTACAGCCCTGGCCAAAAGCATTTGCGACCCCTTCAATGCTTAGGAATGTAACTTCTTTTCACTACAACCAACTATTTTGTATATTGTGACGTATCGGCACGTTAAACTGAGGGCTTGTTTTCTGTTCCTGCACTGGTGAACTAGTGCAATAAATTGGAGTAAGACAAGTATATTTTTTCTCATTCTAGCTTACTGCACTAGTTCACCAGTGCAGGAACAGAAAACAAGCCCTGAATAACCTAAACAAAGGAAAAACGTGCGAATTGAATTTAGCTAAACGATTAAAATGCAATTACTTTTTGAGGAAGGAAAAATAAAACGCAAATCGCAAAAATAGTGGAATGTCCTCATAGTATCGAGACACACCATAAAGCGTTACAAAAAGACATCAACCGGTGTTGTTTATTTAACCTGAACGTAAAATAATTTAAAGTTATTGAGGCTTCACGTAGGTGGTAAATATTTTGGGCCAAGGCTGTATATATTAAGTCCATAAATTAATGGTAAAGCACTATTCGTCGCTTGACAGCGCGAATATGATAGTCCACTCGTGTAGTTGAGACGTCCGATAAAGTTAAAAACTTGCAGGCAAAACATTGTAAATTTCAGCACGTCACGTTTTAACAACCGCTAATGGTTTATAAATGGCGTGCGCTGATGGGAGAAAAATGTACGTGTCAAACTTATCGCCGTTAACTTCTCAATCTTACGATGTCCCGTGGCAAACATTGGCCACAATATTCGAGGCTTGTCGCAATAAAGTACAAACGCGGTCTACACGGGTCGCGCGTGCAGCATCCACCACGGTAGATCGTCGTTGGCTAAACAGGTAGTTTGTCGGAGTCACTGGCGCAGAAATTGCGAGCGTTCAAATCTCCGGGACGAGATCCGTCGGGTTGGCCGGCGATTTCGCCGGCTATATTTCCCGGGGATTTTTCTCCACGGACGATCTCACGGGAATAAACGGGGGGAGGAGACGCGATTCGAGCTCGGCTGTTGAGACCTTCGCTCGCGACGACGCGACATGACGCGACGCGACGCGACGGCCGTTTCGAATTTCAGATTGGCGGGGCCCTTGCCGGCGCGGTCGCGCCCGGCCCTCGGCTTCTGTCTTTGACGGTGCCGTTCCATCATCTCGCACGGTTGACTCACAAATGCGCCATTAAGGAGGAAACCCGAGGGCCGCACCGCGCCCACGAACGCTCGCCGCCCCGCACCGAATTTAATATAATCGGCGTAACAAATCTCCAGGAGTTATAAGGGGGCTGCGGCCGATGCTCCGTCGACGTCACGGCGTTCTCCAAACGGTCGTCGAACTTACGTCGACGGCGTGACATAATTGACAGAGAGGCCCTCTTCGACCTCGGAATGAGAATCCCGTCAGGATTACGGCAGAATTGCAATCGATCCGACGTTTCTAAAAAGAAAAGCAATTCTAGACCTTAGTCCTTGAAGTGCGACAAGTCGCGAGTACTTTTAACAGTGTCACTTTGCACCTTGTAGAAACCTGGGTCTGCGACACTTGCCGCAACTGGAACCGGTGCAGTCGATGGAGCCGTTTGACGCGAGTGCTTCCACGGTCTGCGTCGGTCTGAAGGGCCTGTCCCAGGGCCAGGGAAAGCTCTGCCAGCTGTCCGTGGACCACATGTTCAGCGTGGCCAAGGGCGCAAAGTACGGCGTCGTGGAGTGCCAGCATCAGTTCAAGGACAGAAGGTGGAACTGCTCCACCGTCCACGACGAGACCGTGTTCGGGCCGATACTCAGAATAGGTAGCTACAATGCTCGCTCAGGCACCGTGCCTGAATGGCAGCGATACTTTTTCATCTATTTTCTCTAATCGAAACGACGTTGCAGCGAGCAGGGAGACCGCGTTCGTTCACGCGATCACCGCCGCCGGAGTGGTCTACTCCATCAGCCGCTCCTGCCGGGACGGCCAGCTGTCGTCGTGCGGATGTTCCAGGAGTAGCCGGCCCAAGGATCTGAAGCGCGATTGGATCTGGGGCGGATGCGGGGATAATCTCGAGTACGGCTACAAGTAAGTGCGAGCGGCTCGCGTAAGTCCCGGTCCTATAAAAGCCGGTAACGGCTAAAAGATTCGAAGGAATACACCGGCGGGCTCTTCCTTTTCTCTTTCCCTCCTCCCTTTCTTTTCCCCCTTTTTTTTCCTCTCTTCTTCTCGCGAACGTCACGGAGAAGCCGGGGAAACTGGTTTGAGGCGTGTTTTCGTCGGTAATAAGATGTTGTGCCAGCGCGAAAAGATACGCGCGACGATGTTTCTGCGCGCCATCATTTTTCCTAAGTCTCTATATCTGATTAACACGGTGTAACCGGTCCTCGGTATTTGATTAATGATGGTCCACCGATGGATCGTAAAGGCCCGCGAGAGCCATGCGTATCCAGATAACGACTACCGCCGTAATATATTTCGATAATAATAACAGTCACGCCGAGTAACATCGTCGCGAAATTATTTTTCCGAAAACAAATTCTTCTAGTCACCGCTTAGCGATACAATTAATACAATATCGATTAAAACGGTACTATTATATTTTTCGTTAGACTCGTGACACGGTCCCGATACGAAATAATTGATGGTTGAATTTTTTCGTAAATTCTCCAAAGCCCGAAAGCATGAGATAAACATCTGCCTACACGGAGAGAATTTTCTCTTAAAATTTACTCGAGAATCATGTAATCGTGGAACAACATGGCATTTCGAGAAGAATTATTATGAGTTTTTTGAAATTCTTCAAAATGCCACGATTACATGACTTTCAGGGTGCATTTTAAGAGAAAAGTCCTCTATTATGAGATAGCAGGTTTTCAACACCCAAAATCAATCACAAATTTTTTTCGTAACGATTGCACGAATGAAAAAATGAATTGTCCGCTAAACAGATTTCGCTCCAAGGGCAATAAATTCATGGTGGAATCACCTGATTCCTATTAATTTAACAGAAACTCCGCTATTAGCATTCTATCTCACTATAGGGGACTCTCTCTCTCTCTCTCTCTCTCTCTCTCTCTCTCTCTCTCTCTC